CTACGGCTAGATGCCTCTTCCTGTCCCCCCTGCGGTGTCTCCCCATTCTGGGGCCGGAGATTAACCACTAGCCAGGAGGGTGAGAAGTCTGGAAAGAATGGTATGTAGATAAATGACAGAAGTCCTTAAAAAGGAAAGCTCCTTTTTCTTAGAGAGACTTCTCCTGAGAGCTCTCTCCTAAGCGGACTGGGGTCTCCTCCTAAGCTGACTTGGGAAGATAAAGTTTTCTTAAAGCAACTGACCGGTCTCTGTGTCATCTATCCCGACTACCTCGCTACATTCTCGGATGCAGGCCGCACAGCAGGTGCAACAGTGACCCCCCTGCCGTAAATTTATTTCAGTGCTACTGCATGAGTGCAATTTTTGCTACTGTTGTAAACTGTAAGTATCTGATATGTGAACAAAGGGGTCATGACCCACAGGTTGAAAACTGATAGACTAGAAGATGCTAACTCTGAAGTCAAGGCATCGGCAAGGCTGGGCTCTTATAGAAGCACTAGGGGAGAATTACATTCTCGAATTTTCCAGCTTCTTGAACCTTTTTGCATTCTTTGGCGTGTGGTCTTACTTCTTCAATAGTATCAGCACAGTGTCTTCTAATACTTCCTGATCTCCTTCATTTCTGTTCTCCCTCTTCACTGACTCTCCAAACTTCCTCTTGAAAGAACATTTGGTGATTACACTGAGTCTCTCCAGGTAATCCAGTACAGCCTATGTCAGCCTTCTCTCTGTTTTTTTGTTTTGTTTTGTTTTTGTAACAGGGTTTCTCTATGTAGTCCTGGCTATCCTAGAACTCAATCCATAGACCAGGCTGGCCTTGAACTCACAGAGATCAGCCTGCCTCTGCCTCCTGAGTGCTGGAATTAAAGTCAGGCACCACCACTGCCCAGCTATCAGCCTTCTCTTAAGAGAGAAGGAATAAGCTGTGGTTTCCAGGATTTGCACCCATGGTTTCTTTGCCCTGCCATTGCCCAGTACACCTTCTAGGAGGGAAGGTAGAAATGTCTGTTCATTTCACTGGACTCAGGAAATACAGTTAAAGAGGGTAAGGGTTGTGGTCTTAAGTCCCTTTTTAGGACACATCTTCAGTGCCTAATGTACTCCCTTTTAAAGGCTCCTCCAACATGTCTCAATAAAGCATAAGCTAGTGGGCAAGCATTCAACAAAAGGCTTGGAGGATGTTTAAGATCCAGTCCATAGCACCTTCCCACCCCAGGTCCTGAACTCAGTAACATCTGCAAAAAGCCCCTGGCCGCCGGGCGTTGGTGGCGCACGCCTTTAATCCCAGCACTCGGGAGGCAGAGGCAGGCGGATCTCTGTGAGTTCGAGACCAGCCTGGACTACCAAGCGAGTTCCAGGACAGCCTCCAAAGCCACAGAGAAACACTGTCTCGAAAAACCAAAAAAAAAAAAAAAAGCCCCTGGCCACCAAATTCACATAAACTGGGGTTATGAAGAAACATAAACATATTTTGTTAACCATTATTCTGTGTGTGACAACCATTTGGAGATTTAGCTGCTTTTTAAAAATAAAGCACCCAGTTCTGTCTTCTCTTCGAGAAGTGCCGGTGTGAACTGTGACCTAGTTGTGACAGCGTGATCTACGACATGGTGTGGATCTTAGGCTTGGAACAAAGTGCTGTGCTGTGAGAGAGCATTCCAATACTTAATATACCCATTGCCTACTGCTTGTCAGTTCTCAGCTTAGAAATGATGCTGTTGACTACCTCCTCAGTCACGTATGTTTAGCAACCATGGGCACCCATCATCACGCTGGCTTTAATTCATATGCGTTGATTCTGGGGTGGTAGCAACACCAGCCATATGAAGACCAAAGTCAACCCTGATTGCTATAGGTCTTTAATACAGTGTTTTATCTAGTATTTTAAGATTATCTTGCAGTGCTTAGATTACCTCAAGGCTCATTTTGATTTATGTTGCTTACAAGGGAAAAAATCTTAAAAGCACACTTGAACTGTCATTACACAGAACAAAGGAGTTGATATGAGAATGGCTTGTTGCTTTCTGTCACCTCAATGGACTGTTCTGTAGATACAAACTTGGTATTGTCTTTTCATGCTGAACATCTTACTCTGTTAGCTACTGTTTCTGAGCAAGGCAAAGAGAGAACAAATGAAGGAGAAGGAGGACCATGATTTCCCAAGTGTGGTGGCAACTTGCCCCCAGGGAGATTTACAGAAGCGGGAGATTAAAAACAGAAAGCATAGAAGCTTATTTGTTAACTCCAAAGGATGAAAAAGAAAGATGATCAGGTCTAGGAACCCCTCCTCCTTCCTATGTATTACAAGAAAGCAGTGTTGAAGGGATGAAGTTATACAGGTTATAGTTGGTGATGCTACTGATTTTATTAGGAAAACTGGAAGCAAGGTTATTTACAGGAATTGTAACTATCATCCAGTGCTGTGGCGTGGCCAACATCCTTGGGTCAGCAGTCTTGGTGAGATGTGGTAAGCTGGAATCATTCTAGGTTAAGAAAGCCATTGGACTGAGTGCAAACAGAGATCAGAAGGATTACTGCCATGTATCATTATGCAGTGACATACAGCAAGAAATGTGATTCAGCCTGTTCTGGTGTGCACACGTCACATCAGAGTATACTGTCAAAACCTTGGTGGTGTCACCATCCATTGCATAACTTTGCGGTCATGTGTGGCCACCAAAATAAACACAACAGTGGTTAGGGACATCACTTTTAAAATTGAATTTTCTCAGATTGAATATAGAATTGAAATGATTTTTACAAGTCATTTGGTGTTGGTTTTCTTACAAAGACTACCTCCATCAAGCAATCATGTGAGGGTACAGGGCCCTGTTTCCTTTATACAGACAGAAAGAATTTATGAAAACGTTCTTCATACTTGGTGGTTATTTTATTATCATATATCACTGCTTACATTTTCTTCAGCATTTAAGGATATTATAAATCATACTTTAGTAAACAAAAATCTATGCATGGCATATGTAAGCAATAACAGTTTGAAGGATAGCAAGAAGCTATGTAAACTTAAAATCTAGTCATACTGAAACAAGCTAGCTTGTGCATAGTAACAATTGAAAGGTTAATACAACGGTACATTGTTAAGTGTTCATGTATGTAAGAAACACATGAATAGGAAGAACTGCAGTCACACACACACACAGCCTTAGGTGTGAATTTCTTCTAGAAAGTCATCCCCCAGTCCAGCAGTGCTTTAACCATTCTTTTTGTTGGGCATCTAGCAATACAGACAAATGCATATTCAATTTAATGCGATTTTATCACTCTTAGATGTTTTAGTTATTTTGTATAGGTAGAAATACACAATATTGCTTTTAAAACTTTTAGTTTTATAAGTGTGTAATTAAATGCCACCATACTTACAATGTCCAAACTACTTTTTAACTAAACATTTGTTAACATGAAGAGGAGATTGCCAACATGGTTTCTATGACAACTTTTAATGAAAAGTTTAATCCTTAGTGATACCTCATGCTGAAAGCAAGTTGTGAAATGTTTTAGACAGTTGCTTTCCAATGCTTATTCCTAAAGATTCAGAATTTTGACTGAAAATGCATAGAATTGAGAGATCTTTCTACCTGAAGCCATGCTTACATACATTAGTTTTCTAATAGAAAAAGAAAAGAGCCAGTATTCCAGCGGTCCTCAACTTTCCTAATGCTGTGACCCTTTACTACAGGTCCTCATGTCATGGTGACCCCCAACCCCACAATTATTTTGTTGCTACTTCATAACTGTAATTTTGCTGCTGTTATGAATTGCAATGTAAATAGGTATATGCATTTTCTGATGGTCTTTGGTGACCCCTGTAAAAGGGTTGTTTGACCCCCAAAGATTAAGAACCACTGCATATTTTAATACTACATCTCAGTTTGGGATCTCATCATATTTTTATACAATATATGAAAAACAGGAGCATGTCCTTTATATATTATATCTGAGTAAATGACAAAAACAATGACAGACACCAGTATTTTTCTTTTCTTTAAGCCATCCGAGAACAGTAAATTTGGCCAAGGGACGAAGTTGCCATATTGGTAGCAAAGGTTACATCATACAAAATGGAGGTGAACAAATCACATTTATCTTTACCTTAATACCAGCTCAAAAGCCTCAATTCATTATCAGATTTCTTGATGAGATACACTGAACAATATGCATATGAGGTAAGGACTATTCTTACATGAAAACTGAAAATATTTTACAGATTATTTTGTTCGTTACATTTATACAATGCACCATTCATTTCATTCATTAAAATACCTTGCACCAAACATGGCAAATTCAATCTTAACACTCCTCAAATATGAGAAAAACTAATACCTTCCACTAGTATAAGAAGTGAAATTCATACAGTCAATATAACAAAAGGATTGCAGACCTAACATAGTTTTCAAAGACAATTTATACACAATGAAATGAGTGCTTTACTTAATTTAACCAAAGAGCTAAACAAACTCCACTTCCCTTCTCTGCAGCTTACTGAGCATGGCTGCCTCGAGCATTTTCCATGGTGGCCCTCTGGTGTCATTGATGGAGAGGTCTCAGTGAAAGCAAACAGTGGCACTCAGAATGCCACTTCTCAGAAAACACTGTTAAAATGCAAGTGCTACTGCCTTAATATTTATGCAATAATTAAATGATTTTGGTAACATGTTATTTTTAAAAATTTCAACGTAAGGCACAGAGGAACATCAAAAGTCCAGAAGCAAGTATATTATATAATAAATAGTTATCTTTCAGTCATCAACTGCCCTTTATCTGAAGGAAGGGGGCAAGTAGTGCAGTAAAAACATGGCTGAATTAATAAAAATGATGCGAATTCAGAAATGCCAGTAACATTTCTGTGCAGAAAGAATATTCATTCAAAAAGGACAAAGAACATTTTATATAAAATACACACCCTACTGTGTTACAGGTAGACTGAAAAGAACGTGAGGCACTTATATTAACAGTGCAGAAGGAAAACATTGAGATTTCTCTTTTGATAAAAGCACCAAACCATTTATTCTAACATCTGAGACACAGAGAGGTTAAAATCAATTAGTCTTCTAACTGTATTTGGTACACCATCGGGAATCCTGAAGTTGTCTTTCTGGCTGGTCACTGAGTGGAGACGCTCAGCTCTCCAGAACCCCAAAGCTCTCCGCTGTGGGCATGTGCACGCTGAGGTGCTAAAGCTACTTAAAGGCTTGTGGTCTCTCCCTATGCTCCTGCAGAGCTTCCCATTTTATAGGTAACCGATAACAGTTTTTAAACTCCTCTTCCCAACACAAAGATTAAAATCTGGCTTGGAAAAAGAGTGCTGATGGCCAACATGGACAGACAGTCCCGGTATCTTGTTCCCAAAGCTACAGGAATCCGCTGGGTGTGATATCAGGAAACGGCCTCCCTTCTGCAGGGTGATGAAGATGAGCAGTGGTCTGCCTGTGACCAACGCTGTTTAATTCAGACGAATAGGTTTCATTTAACACTCCCTGATTCTGAAACTGAAAACAGAAACAGCAGAACAGCTCAGTCAGATACAATAAACAACACCTTAAAAACACATTCTAGAACCTTCCCTCTGCATGGGGCTCTACTTTATGGTCCTATGCTACTCCTTCACCGTTCAAGTCATCCAGAGATATGAAAACACACTGATTTCACTTGGGAGATCAGTTTCCCATCAATCCTATGAGATAATTTCAAGATGGCACAGAGAATGTTATAACTACTTCCTCTCTTCTGTCTTGGGACACGCTTGGAAATTATGTGTCAGAGGGTTACTCTGGCCTGCCATCACCCCAATCAGGAACCCGGAACTAAAGAACTGATTACACCCAGAACCTCTACACACTGCATTTCAGACATCAAGACTTTTGCCCAGTTCTGGGCTTCAAAGGTTTCTTGGTGTTTTTATGTTACACTATGAGTATGATTTCAATGAATTGATTTGGAAGACAAGTTTCATTAATTTCTCTGCAAGTTACCAAATGGAAAATGTTTGCTTGCTATGTTGCCTGGTCTTATGTCGACTCGATAACAAGCTAGACTCATCAGAAAGGAGGAAACCTCAGTTGGGAAAATGACTGGATGGGTAGGCCAGCTGAGGCTGAAGAGTCAGCTGTGCTCCCAAAAAGACCAGCATTCTGGGAAGTGTCTCCTGGGAGCACGGAGAAGCTGTGGTCCAGAGGCAGCCAAGGCATCACCTCGGGCTGACAGCCAAACCTGGTAGTGCCAGAGTCGCCCAGGTGGTTCTGGTTTTGAAGTCATGAAGGGGCCATGGAGATCGCTGAGGATCGGCACTCCAAGAGGCAGGAGAGACCATCAGTGAAGGCGCAGCCTCAGTGGCAGTTACAGGTCCATGACCAAATGGGCCATGGACTTGAAGAAAGTCCACGAGAGACCACAGGTGAAAGCGCAGCCCAGATGCAGAAGACCCCAGCATTTTGCAGATGCCAGGACCATGGGATGGCCACCAGGAAGAGCAGCAGCAGTGGAATGGAGCCAGCTGGATGTAAGAGACGAGCTGGGTGGGCTGCAGAGAATGGAGGCTGAGAAGTGACCCATGCCTTTGGGGAAGCCCAGAAGACTGTGAGTGGGACCCAGTCAGTGGACACCGAGCTCTTTACACATCTGGAGTTTGGGGAAGCCCAGAAGACTGTGAGTGGGACCCAGTCAGTGGACACCGAGCTCTTTACACATCTGGAGTTTGGGGAAGCCCAGAAGACTGTGAGTGGGACCCAGTCAGTGGACACCGAGCTCTTTACACATCTGGAGTTTGGGGAAGCCCAGAAGACTGTGAGTGGGACCCAGTCAGTGGACACCGAGCTCTTTACACATCTGGAGTTTGGGGAAGCCCAGAAGACTGTGAGTGGGACCCAGTCAGTGGACACCGAGCTCTTTACACATCTGGAGTTTGGTTTTGCTTTGACTCTATTGTGACTGTACTCTGACTCTTCCCTCTTGAAGGTAGAAGGTGTTTAATTTCATTTTGATTTTTACAGGACCCCACAGCTTAAAGACTTTGAATATTTAAAAGAGATTTTGGATCTTTAAAAGACACTGGATATTTTAAAGGAACTGAACTTTTAATGTGTTCAAATTTGTAAAGATCATGGAACTTATAAAATCATTTATATTTTATATTGTGATATTAATGGGAAAGGAAAGGCTCTAATTGAAAACTGATGTTCGGTGTGTCAAGCTGACAAAGGGTCAGTTGTGCTGGCTAGTTTCATGTCAGTTTGACTCAGCTAAAGTTGCTGGAGAGGAGAGAGCCTCAACTGAGAAAATGCCTCCATAAGACCTTGTTGTAGTGTGGGCAGAAGTGTGTAGGGCATTTCCTTAATTGGTGACTTATGGGGGAGGGCCCAGTGCATTGTGGGGGTTCTGTAAGAAAGCAGGCTAAGCAAGCTATGAAAAAACAAGCGGGTAAGGTGCACTCCTCCATGACAGCTGCGTGAGTACTGCCCTTACTGTTTCTGATGACGAACTGTTACATGGAACCGTGAGTGAAATAATCCCTTTTCTCATCAAGTTGCTATTGGTCATGACATTTCATAGCAGCGATAGTAACCATAACTAGGACATTTGCCTTCTTGAACAAATATAAGAGTTGATAGTCTATAGAACCTTCACATTATAGTGTACAGTTGATAAAATAAAATAAAAATAAGATGAAAATCATAAAATCATCCCTGTAGCTGCTTCAAGTAAGATCATTTATTTTGCAGGGCTAGAGATGCTTGTGAAAGGCCGTGCATGTGAGTGCAGTGCTCTACCGCTGAGCTATACTCTTGACTTTCTGTAATTTTATTTTGTGTCTCACTGTTTTCCAGGCTGCCTTTGAACTCACCCTGCAGACCCAACATGAGAAGTGCCCTTTTGTGTTGTTCGGCAGGCTTGGCATATACCTACAGGTAATATACAGACTGTGCAGGTTATATTTATTACACACACACACACACACACACACACACACACACACACTCCAACAACTAAAGGAAAGAGGCCATGAATCTGAAAGAGAACAAGGGTGGATAGAGAGGAAAGGTTGGGGAAGGAATGGGAAGGGGAAAGGATATAATTATATTTTAGTTTCAAACAATGAATGCATTGTTTAAAAAATAAAATTGTACGTGTACGGTGTCGTCCCCGCATGTATACATGTGTGTCACGAGCATGCAGTGTTCAAGGAGGCAGAAGACGGCACTGGGTCTCCTGGAACTGGAATCACGGACAGCTGTGAGCTGGGAATCAGATACAGGACCTTTAGTAATGCAAGCAAGCGCTAACTGATGAGCTATCTCTCCAGGTCCAAAACGCAGCTACTTATATGTATATTCATTTATCATTTATATTAGGAACATCTGGCTTCCTTTGTGTAGTGATTTTAAATCAGACAGTGAGTGACTGCTAACTACTGTCATCCCACTGCTACTCTTGTTGTCTATTAGCGCCCATCAGTCAGCCCCATCCTGCTGCCATTTCCAGCGTCTGAGAAGTCATCCTTGCAAGTCTCCACACATGGACGTGATCAGCAGCCTTGCTCTCAATGTTCTATAATGGCCTCCAGATGCACCACATTGAGGCAAATGATAATACGCCACTCTTTTATGGATAAAATATATCAAATGCACAACTAATCAATTTTCTTTATGATGAGTGGTAAATTTGAATGGAATTGAAGGTTATCAGGAAAAAGATTAAGAAAATCATCATTCTCCACTAAAAAACAAACAAATCCCACACAACCAGATAAAGCAGATATATTAACAATCTAGAAGAAACAGAACTGAGATTCAAGCCACACTCAAGCAGGGAAATGAACTTAATATTAGCCAAGATATTCTTAGAAGCTAAACAGTATATTTTCAAATAAACTAATACTCTCTAACAGAAATTTATTAGTGTGAGCATGATATATACCCTTGAGTGACGAGAGAGAACAGCTATTAAATTATGTCCACATCAACCTGGTTTTCAGAAAATTAATAATCTATTCATCCTATTTTAATTAAAGGATAAAAAGTTATCATGTGAACATGAATATACTGAAAGCAGTTCTGAGATCACTTGCTGTCTAAAAGGGCTCTGATAGTGTGTTTAAACATCGCAGACAACACAGAGACACTCAGGCGGGACAGGTTTACTCAGCTCTGGAAGCCCTTACCTTGTTTAGAAATGCCTGGGAGTCTGGGACTGCAGGGCTGTACTGCATCTGCTCTACAGGGACGTGCTGAGGTCCTGGCTGGCACTGGTACATGGACATGGCCCCAGCATAGTATGTCTGAGGAGCGACCATGGCCGACTGTGGATGCACCTCGTGTCTTTGGTTTTCGGGAACTTGTAAACAAGTGACAAAATCTCCTACATTAGAAGTGTTGGGGTGCAGGGATGGTTCGAAACCCTTTCCAGGCAAGTCCAGCTGTGCACACTTGGAACGCTGGGGTAGCACAGACTGATTACAGGGAGCAAAGCTCTGTGTGTAAGGCATACTGTCCATCTCAGATTTGTAGGGGAACTCCTCAATCGCCCCCTGCAAGTCTGAAAAGACGTCATAATGCTTCAGTTCCTGCTGAGGACAGCTGAAAGGCACGAGAGGGGTGGGGTTCCAACTTGCAAACATGCCATTGACTTGCGCATGATTCATTTTCTGACCCAGCTCCGGCTGGGGCGCCGTCTGGTGACACAGCTCTTGCTGGGGCGCCATCTGAAGACACAGCTGTTGCTGGGGTGCCGTCTGGTGACACAGCTGCTGCTGGGGCGCCATCTGAAGACACAGCTGCTGTTGGGGTTCCATCTGATGACACAGCTCTTGCTGGGGCGCCATCTGAAGACACATCTGTTGCTGGGGCGCCGTCTGGTGACACAGCTCTTGCTGGGGCGCCGTCTGATGACCCAGCTGCTGCTGGGGCTCCGCTGCCTGAGTTTCGTGCTGCTGCAGCTGCCGCTGCCCCAGATGCAGGCGTTCCTGCAGCATGCAGCTCAGGTGCTGAGTCACAGGCTGCTGCTGGCTGGCAGAACTCAGCAAGGTCGACCTGTTTAGAGAGTCTTGCACGTAAGTGAGGATTTCATCTGTTATGTCGATGTCTCTGAAGTCAACCTCGCCAGCCAGCTCAGTCCTGAAGAACTCCTCACTCTGCATGCGTTTGATGTCATCGAAATCGATCCCTAGGTTTTTCATGATGCTGTACAAGTCACTATTTCTATTATCTGGAAAGAGCCCCGGGGGGCCTCCAGAGACTGCAGGGTTCATGTCCTGACCATGTCCGATTTGTTCATGTTTCAACTCAGCTTCACTTCCTATTGATGCAATACTGTCCTGCCAACCATCGCCTTCACTCCCGTGGGTGAGAAAATGGCTGTCTAGCGGCGCAGCACTCGAAGGAGGACAGAGATAGATGGACTCATCCTGTTGGATCATGCAATTCATAAGCGAGCTGGGGTGGAGGGAATCATTGCTTGGTGTTGACTGCGGAACCCAGTCCTTTGCACCGGTGCCGCTTTTGGTACGGATTGGCAAGGGATCCATTATGGGAGGGAAAGGGCTGGAGATCTCGTACAATACAGCCTCTCCTGTAGCGAACATGAAGGGCAGCGTCATACTCCGCTTCTGTAAGTGCTCTCTTCCTTCTTCATCCCTAGCAGGGTGGGCAAGAAAATCTTCATACGTTAGAGTTTTATCACACAGGCTTTAAGGAAGATATTATCAAATGGAGAAAAAAAATAAGCAAAATGTACCAGAGCTGTGATTTCACAGAACATGGGTTTTCTTTTGAATCAAGTTATTATCATGACTTATGTTATGCAAATATAGCTAAAACCATACAGGGAAATGTACACATACTGAAAAATTATAAATAAAATGATAACTGGGAGACACAGATGGAATAGAAAGCAAATGGACAATAACAAAATCAATAAATGGAGTGTGTGAGTCTGGAAGAGGCTGGCGAAGGCAGAGGTCTGCTGCTACGCCACAGTGGATCTGTGGAGCACACATCCGGGTACTCTTATGGGTAACACAAACATTCCCTAAAGACCATGGGCTGATGACTTAGTTCCGTACAGATGTTAATTCTTCCCTCAAAGAGCTATGTTTTCAAAATCCCGTCAGTTGTGTTGTTACTGTTGGACAATGAATTCTAACGTGCATTTGGAAACATAAAGGATAAAGAAAAGCCAAAACAATTACGAATGAGAACAAAATCTATATAAAAACAAAATAAAGACATGCATTCACAAATCAAAACTGCTGGTTAAGACAGTACAAGACACAGTCAGACAAAGGGTTAACAGAACACTCTACTGCAGTGGGGTAAGATGGTTCTTCAAGAGTTTGTCTCTTTAATACATTCTACTGATCAATTTGATATTCAAAATGGAGAAACCCCGTTCAGGATTCCTACCTCCAGATATACCAGGGGAACAATTCTCATGGTGAGGGAAGCCCAGTGCAAATATTTCACAAAAGATGCCTTTCTGGAATATCTGAGAAACTTCCAAATCACTGGGTACACACCACAGCGTTTTTAGGGGTTTCTTTTATTTTAAAGATGCTATGGGCTTCTCATCTCCCCTTAATTTGGAGGAGGAGTAGGATTTTATATTTTAGCTTTATCCACTTAGCTGCTCAATGAAGCCTGTCACTTATGTCTTCTTCAACATGGCTCACCTTTGCCCCACGCTTTCTAGATATATTCTTTTAACATCATATTTTTTTAGTTACAGGTTCAACTGTCCAAGACTGCTTTTAAATATAAGAAGACTTATGAAAACACAAAGCCAGGACACATTCTTTCTGCTAAGCTTACGTTAGTGGCCTCTGAGTTGCGATGATGTAATCTGGCCTCCCGTTTCTATAGATCAAGCGAGCGTTGGACTGGACCCACCTCCATCGACTGTGCTTTGCCAGAAGCCGGAAAACTGTCATGCCGCTTTCCCCAGTCTTAATCACTAAAAACAAACATTTAACACAAGGTTAAACCTCTATCGATAGAGTAGAGAAAACCCCTGCTACAAAGTCCCGCTGCGGGCCTAAAGAGATGGCCCGCTGGCTGAGGGCACTTGCTGCTCTTGTAGACGACTTGAGTTTGTTTCCCAGGAACCACACTGGTGGCTCACAACCTCCTACAACCCAGTCCCCGGGGATCAGAAGCCCTCTTATGGCATCTAAGTTCACCCACACCCAGGTGCACATGCTCCCACACAGACAAACACACAAGTAAATCATAAAATTCTAAGAAAGCCATTCTGACATAGTTCAGTAACCAGCAATTATGGTAATATCTTGAAAGCTTTTAAACACAGCGAAGGCATGGGAAAACATTTCTTCAGAGTTGGTGCTTTCCCATTTTAAATGGGGCTTAGCATGGAAAATGTAAAGAGTAATATCAAGAGGAGGCCAGACAGCTTTGGCGACCCGTGAGGAAAGTAAAGATTAAAATTTTTCATACTGAATGAGCAATATGTTCAATATTTCCTGACTTTTTATTCACACATGTGTGTGAGTCACTGATTGCCACTAACGATCCTCTGAACAAAACTTCATTGGACAAAATGCTATTTTCAAAATCATTACACCACTATGTCATGTATGCATGGCAGCTGTAGAAGGTTTAGGAAATAAAAAAGTAAAGGTGGCTAACCCTTGTGACAGGACGCCACACAGGATTAATCCAAATACTTCTACGGGGACAATATCATGCATCACAATTTGAAATGTGCATCACAGGGCTGGGGCCACGGCTCAGTGGGTGCTGGTGCATGCCGCCAAGCCTGAGGATCTGAGGTTGGTCCTAGGGATCTACAGGGTGGAGGAGAACAGCCTCTGCAAGCTGTCCCTGGCCAGCTCATGCACACGCACAGAAATCGGTCCCTGCCTCGGCCACTGGCAGGCAGGCCGTGAGAACCCCAACTCACTGCGGACGTGGAACTCCGCGCAGTAGAGCATGTCGGCAGCGTGGATGAACTGGTACCCCGAGCCTCGGGTGCACAGCTCCGCTTCCGTGTAGCCCAGGACAAGCTGCCCTCTGTTTAAAAACAGCATCACGTTGTCAGAGAATCATGGTACCTTCTCTGGGTGGACACTATCTCTGCCAGCACTGCAGCAGCTGACATTGAAGTTTTCACATTAGCACACAGAAGACATCCCTTTTAATTTTGATTTTTTTCTTTTACTTTCTTATTTGTGGCTGTAAATTTTCAGTTTTAGCCTATTCCCTTCTTTTGAATAAGGCCATTAAAATTAGGATGTTAAAAATGAATCAGACAGAGTTAACTATAAAAGCAAAACAAATTCTAACCCTAAAAACATGGAGTGCTCACACTGAGTTCAGAGACAGAGTCTAAGTCACTTCGCTGCAATCTCCCAATGGAAGGAGAAAAAATTAAAAATGCTTTGACATAAATTCCTGCTAGTTAACTAAGTAACTTTAGATAGTTATTTTATTTCTAGAGCTAAAAACTAAATACCACTTTTACAAAATGTAAAATAAACCAATGTTCTAAAAATACTCTTACAAGTATGGTAAATAATGCAAAATATTAAGATTAATTGTCAGATTGATGAAAATTTTAGTAGACTATACTGAAAAAAATGAACAATTGTTAATACAGTAGCATATAATATTAGAACGTAAGCCAAATGTCTCGCCAAACAATAAGAGAATTGTTTTATATTACACATTTAATGACATAAGAGTGAAAAGGTTTCCCTTACTTGGCATCGCAACCAATAGGTGTGAAGTCTAGTTTGTGTTTGGTCCTGAAGATGAAGTTTTTGGTTCGGATTTCCAGTATGGACGGGGGCTGAAGTGGGGTGGCTATTGCAAACAGAGCCAGCTGCGGGGGCAGTAGTGTTCCATCCTTCCCCTTCTTGTTCTGTCCATGGAGATACTTTAGCCGCCCTTGGAAATTCATTGCCTTTAAAAAGTCATTAAAACGAGCAGTGTGTAACGGTGTCAATGTCAACGTTTCCATCATGGCTCCTGTGGGGTTCCTGGTATTGTAGGACAGTGCCCAAGGCTCAGAACTGCTAACTTTTCTCACTCCTCTCTCCACAGAAAGCCCACTAAAACCCCAAAGGCCTACACGTCTGTGCCTGAAACCACCTGACCATGTTCACCTACCACAGCTCTGTGCACCTCAGGACAGATCGTATGAAAGAGTGGCGATGAATAACACTGTACATACTAACTTTCAAACATCCATGATCTATGTGCCATAGCTTGCCATAATCTTTCCTGAGAAAAATGCAATTTTATTAAACCGGAAGAGGATCCTTCTAAAACTGTATGAGGAAAGTAGAGGTCAAAGATGAAGAATGATTTTTAGAAGACAGAGGCAGAAGAGAATTTAGAGACAGGTGTGATAAACTTAGATGACCTGTAGGACGCTCTGATGCGTCTGATACAGCACACAGGGAAGAAACCCTTGCACACAGAAACCCCACCTAACTCCGCTAACCCATCTAACAGTGATCACTGGTATCACTCCACTAACAGTGATGCCACGAGAGACACCTCAGCAAACGGCTCCTCCTCCACGTCAGTAAAACAATACATAACAAAATGCGCTGATTTGTGAGGCTTAAGACACAGCCTTGCTTGCCTGTGGCTGGAAGACTGTGCCCAGTGTCTGGACCTTGCCGGGTGGCCCCCAGGGTTACCTCTTGTAGCAGCATCCCTATTGGTCCGCTGCCCAGAACCACAGAGAAGCATTTTATTTGCACTCATCCCAGACATAGATGTTTTTCCTGTGTGGATGGCTTACAACGCCTGAATGCTAGCATCCTGCTCAAGAATGACTTGCTGAATCTCACACTTAAAGTCTTCCAAAACACTTCAAGTACAGGTTCCGTGCCATGCCACTCAATTTCTACACCTTCACCGGAAATGATAGCATTTTGTGAGCTGCGGAAGACCTTCAAAACCCGAGACACCAGTGTGTGTGTGTGTGTGTGTGTGTGTGTGTGTGTGTGCACGCGCGCGTGCGTGCGCACGAGCATGTATCTTCCAGGATTTTCTAGTTTCGTCATTTCATAGGTGTGCATCACCATGCCAGGCTTTTACATGGGTTCTTGGGGTCCAAATCAGGTCCCCATTCTTACAATACAAACATTTGGCCAGCTGAGCCTTTTTACTGGCCCTGAAATGTTAATTTTTCAAGGCTGCTTTCTTTTATCATATTAAGTCATTTCACAAGCGCTGCTTTCAGCCTTTGCACCTCACCAGAAAACCAGAGGAATTATCCAGCAGACACCGGAGCCGGCAGATGAAGCACCTCTCCAGGAAGGAGGCGCTCTCCGGAGGAAGCTGGTCTGGGTTGAAGTAGACTGCCGGAGGCTGTGAGAGGCCATGAGATTCTGTGGAAACAAAACAGCAGTCGACCTTGCGTTTGCCGTAAAACCCAGGGTTTGAACAGTTAAACCTGGGACACATTTAAACTGGAGTGTGTATTCATAATTTAAAATACCCTTTCAAAAATAATTCAAAAGCCCAAACTTACTGGCACAGCTATCCTGTAGAACTTGACACATTTTGTATTTGTATTTGTGCACGACTACTGCTAACCACGGCTACATTTCTAAGTGGTTTTCCCTTACCAGCGTCACGGACATCTTCAAGCAATGCCGACACCGGGAAGACCCTTTTGTTCTTGCGTATGCGAGTGTGTGCTTTCACGGGCACATTTTGATGAGAAGGGTTTGCACGCTTCAGTTACAACTCTGTTCATTCCTTCCACCATCCACAGTGGTACCACAGTTGCTTTTATAAAACACAGCACTGCTCTGGGCTTGGGTCAGAGCTCAGTTGGTACAATGCTCACCATGCAAGCATAACGCTGAGTTTGATGCCTAGGACCCAGGCCAAGAAAAGCCAGGCGTGGAGGCGCATGCTGGGAGCCCCAGTGCCGGGGAGGCGCGGAGAGTAGATGGCTCCCAACAGTCTAGCCTTCTTGGTGATCTTCAGGCCAATGAAAACTCATATTAACAAAATAAGATGGGGGCTAGGCCCACAACCAAAAAATAAGATGGATAGTGTACAAAGAATGACCCCCAAGGTTGGCGACCTTTGGCCTCGTACCCACAAGTGGGCCATCATCTGCTAAACTTTTCTTAGCTCATGATCCTGTTGCAGCTGGGCTCTGATCTATGGCTACAGACTCACATCACCTGACTTGTTCTCCATCTCCAGCATGGAGCTCCGTGCCCTGTGACTTCCCAGCCGCCTTCACAGATATTCAGAAAGCATCACCGTGGCCTTTGGGTAAACCTTACCATCCCCTCCTTGTGCAGAGTCTGTACACTGTGCGGGGTTTAGAGCCCAGTGAAGCTGGCGCTGGAACTCAGCTCGGTCTTCGGTATGGATGAGCTCATAGACACTCTGATGGATGACATCAGACTACAGAGAAGGAGCGTGAGGAGATAAAGTAGTGATTACAAAATGATAACCTTAGTAAAGCACTTTCAAACACGCCAGTGGGCACCTGTTAGCGACGAGGAACAGAATGCAGTGATGGCTTGCAGAGCCACCAAGTCATTCACACTCGGGAAAGCTACAGGCCAACCCTGTAACTGACTCAAAAATTATCCACCACTTCCCAACACGAGTACTCTGGCTCACAGGGCATCTCCCTGTTTCTCAAGTGGACCATAGGAAGACCTGCTCATATTCCTTGTCCATTTCAGGCCAGCTGATGGCATTACAGACCAGTCATTCTCGACACCTTCGAGGCTGCACATCAGACATCTACATTACAATCCATAACAATAGCAAAATTACAGTAATGAGGTTGGAACAAGCCAATTTTATGGTTGGGAGTCATCCCAACCTGAGGAACTGGATTAAAGGTCACAGTACTAGGAAGCCTGAAAACCAGTTCCAGACCCTGTCTCACCACAAATCCCTCTCTGTCTTCTCTGAGCTGAACAGCATTTAATTTGTATCTCCGACAGTTGAACATACATTTTCTTTATAGTAGCTTTTTTTCCAAGTACACTCCACAGACTACACACCAAGGGACACAGCCTTTATGGTGCCCGTCCCCACCCCCAAGCCTCTCAGCCTTCACTTCAGTGCTGAGTTCTTTTTCTTTCCACTGAAACTCACAGATTCTAATGCATTTCCATCCATCCTACACAAACGTATACATGCAGAAAAGTTCTGTGCAGCATCAATATTTGTGATGATATTCAACATGATCACTTTACCTCATTGCTTGCTAAGCACTGAAATAGAAAGTTCGATTCTTACCCATTATATTACCATAGTTTTGATACTGGAATCTTAATCCCACATCAAAAAAATACACAAGGTATGCATATGTATGAGAAAAATGTTAGAACATAGCTTATTTCTTAGTTTTTCTTTTCATTTGTTTTTTGTTTTTGAGACAAGAGTCTCACTATACAGCCAAGGCTGTCCTAGAACTCACTATGTAGAGCAGGCTGACCTCAAATTCACAGAGACCTGCCTGCCTCTGCCTCTATCTCTGCTTCTGCCTCCTAGTACTGGATTTCTATTTGCGATTTTTTTAACTGATATAATCATAGTATCATAATCAAAACCTTAAGGGATTCACTATGTTTCAAATAGGCTTTCTACAGACAACACATTTTCTTTGTTTTAAAAACAAAGAAAACAAAGATTTAGGCTTTGTGACAGTGGCCAAATTCCTTTACTTTAATCACCTTCCCTTAAGCAGGCCTTCCTGGAAACTGAACATACAATCAGCTCTTTGCCACGCATCAATTGCATGGTTTCCAGGGTAATCTGAAACATAGCTAACGCATCCGCTTTCTCTCTAATGAAAACTGCTGGTGGATATCGACTGCACATATAATAAGAACTACAGTCCACATGTGTGTTAAACAGTCTGTGGCATGTAGACCAGCAGCCTTGTGGTCTCAGACATGCAAACTCATGGCCACGCTATGACCCACTGAAATGGAATGGAGCCCAAAGACCTTACCAAGAGCTTCCTTCAGGAGCTGCTTGTGACAAGATGACATGAGAGCCAGATACACAAGAGGGCAGGCACTCAAGGCACTTGTGGTCTGCTCTCAGATCGTGACGCACTCTCTTACTTTTCCATTGCTGACCACCACACACGCCATCAATTCCAGAGTGCTTACAGAGAGCCAACACTCACCTCCTTCAAGGATCTCTTGTCTATGGCTCTCGGCATGTCTATCCATTCCAGAGTGCTTACAGAGAGCCAACACTCACCTCCTTCAAGGATCTCTTGTCTACGGCTATCAGCATGTCTATCCATTCCAGAGTGCTTACAGAGAGCCAACACTCACCTCCTTCAAGGATCTCTTGTCTACGGCTATCAACACGTCTACCTTCCCTACGCTCCCTCCTCAACATCTGTGCACTCTACACGCCCTAGCGCCGTCTCCGCACATCTCTTCAAGGCAGTGCTCAAAAGCAGATGCATGAGAACTCAAAGTACGATCCACAGTATTTTACAAGCAAGCACCTCAGTAATTCCATAACTGTTTTACTCAGTAGACCATGGCATCTAATGGCAAAGGTCTGCTTCCAAATCCGACCTGCCTTAAAGTCTCTCTCCCTGGCTCTCTTCTGCCAGGCTAATTATTGAACCCAGCACAGAAGGTAAGTACTATATATCGCAGACTAATTGGCTGGTTCCAGAAAGTTTCATACATATACATATACGAATCTCATATATATTATATATATGTGTGTGTGTGTGTGTGTGAATATATTTACATGACATTATCAATGGATGAAATAACTATGAAATAAAACATCAGTGCTATACATTATCAATATTGTATATGTAGCCTAAAATACATTTGTAATTCTTGTAGCACACATTTTACTCAAGATATTCCATGTACAAATGGCCAGCTTTAATCTTACATTATAAAATGGACAAAACAGCAGAAAGTTTGTTTTCTAAAAATAATCAATTTATATGACGTAAGAGAAATGTATTTACTTGCTGAAAGCCCAGGTAATCTTGGATAGTAGAGGAGGCATAGAAGACCAAGGCATCTGCTGTGACAACCAGTACGAAGCCGTTCAGTGCCTGCAGACAGGAAAGGGTAAAACTGTCAATCAGAAACAGCAGTTGTTATGTGAAAGCTGTCTCTATCTACAAGCACCCTCTCTTTATCCTGCCCAAACACGGTCACATGGCATGCAGACTGGGAAACCTACCCACGCTTCCTGCTTGGCTGAGGAGAAAGTTACAGCTGACTTTAAAGTCCAACCAGGTACACGAATAAGAGGCCAGGCTTACACTCTCCAGAGTTGTTCTTTTAAATACACTGCTTCTGTTTTTTGGTAAAATAAACTGCACAGAAAACGCTCGCTACAATTACATGTCTTTCTTCTTTAGGGAGGACTAAAGAAAAAACTGCTTATTGGACCTTGAAGTGGAGAAAACGGTAAGGCTTGCAGCCAAAATGCCTCAGCTCCTGACTGAAATTTAGATGCTTTCACAGAATTACAGAGATATTAAAGCTTCTATTGGAATGCACAATGCATATAAAATATAACATTCAAAACTTAAATGTTTCTCGGCTATAAAACATATACACTTATCAGCCTTTAACCTAACTGTGAGTATTTTCATATTTAAATGCACTATCTCATACACATTTCCCATTTCTATTCATTCCAGCTACACTGTATGCCTGTTCTCCCTTGTGCCTATAATACTATTATGATTATTCCATGTTTTTCCCTTTCAGCTTGCAGGTCCTTCCTTACCTACTTTGTTCAGGGGTTTTTCAAGGTCAGTGTGAATTATAGGTTTGTCTTCCTCTTGGAAAACAAAAGTATATGTGCTCACTTCAACTATCTATGGTTAGAAACTTAATCCAAAAAGCTCCCATTATTATCTATTTGATTCCAGTCCAAAGTCTCTCCTGAGACTCAATGAAATCTCTTTACATTTTTTCAAGGAAATCTCTTAATTGCAACCTCTATAAAACTAAAAAGCAAATTACATACTTCCAAAATATACATTATTCAAGAGAGAGGAAGAGGGGCACTGTGAAGAATTACTTAACTCAAGCTAGACTGGAATTCAGCAGGGCAAACACTAAATCCTGTAGTTCCATGTGTAGACTAGGAGTGGAATTTGTCAAATGAATGGCAAATGTCCCCCTTAGTCCTGGGCAATTGAACACTTAGTCCCAATTTGGTGGAACTATTCCTTGCTGGAAGAAGTCAATCACTGAGGAGGAGCTCTGAGATTACAGTCTTACCTATTTCCAGTTCTCTTTCTCTCTGCGCTGTGTTCACATGTACAGATGTGAGCTAAGCTTGCTGCTCCTGCTGTCAAGCCTGCTTTTACTGTGATTTTTCCTCACCATGATGGACTCTAACACTCTGGTTCTGGAAGCCCAAGTAATCCCTTCCTTCTCTAAGTCACTTTTAGTCATGATATCTCATTCCAGTAACAGAAAAGGAACTGACACAACTCTGTTCCAGCAATGAATTAGCAAAACATACACCAGGCTGGCTCAGTTCACGGGGGGGGGGCAGGAGGGGAACTCAGCCCAGGCTGGCTCAGTTCACTGGCTGGGGCTGAGAGCAGTAAGGGAACTCACCCCAGGCTGGCTCAGTTAAATGGGGGGGGTGCTGAGAGCAGAGCAGGAGGGGAACTCAGCCCAGGCTGGCTCAGTTCACTGGCTGGGGCTGAGAGCAGAGCAGTAAGGAAACTCACCCCAGGCTGGCTCAGTTCACGGGGGGGGCTGAGAGCAGGAGGGGAACTTAGCCCAGGCTGGCTCAGTTCACAGGGGAGGGGGTGAGAGCAGGAGGGGAACTCAGCCCAGGCTGGCTCAGTTCACAGGGGAGGGGGTGAGAGCAGGAGGGGAACTCAGCCCAGGCTGGCTCAGTTCACAGGGGAGGGGGGTGAGAGCAGGAGGGGAACTCAGCCCAGGCTGGCTCAGTTCACAGGGGAGGGGGGTGAGAGCAGGAGGGGAACTCAGCCCAGGCTGGCTCAGTTCACAGGGGAGGGGGGTGAGAGCAGGAGGGGAACTCAGCCCAGGCTGGCTCAGTTCACAGGGGAGGGGGTGAGAGCAGGAGGGGAACTCAGCCCAGGCTGGCTCAGTTCACAGGGGAGGGGGGTGAGAGCAGGAGGGGAACTCAGCCCAGGCTGGCTCAGTTCACAGGGGAGGGGGGTGAGAGCAGGAGGGGAACTCAGCCCAGGCTGGCTCAGTTCACAGGGGAGGGGGGTGAGAGCAGGAGGGGAACTCAGCCCAGGCTGGCTCAGTTCACAGGGGAGGGGGGTGAGAGCAGGAGGGGAACTCAGCCCAGGCTGGCTCAGTTCACAGGGGAGGGGGGTGAGAGCAGGAGGGGAACTCAGCCCAGGCTGGCTCAGTTAAATGGGGGGGGTGCTGAGAGCAGAGCAGTAGGGGAACTCACCCCAGGCTGGCTCAGTTCACAGGGGAGGGGGCTGAGAGCAGGAGGGGAACTCAGCCCAGGCTGGCTCAGTTCACAGGGGAGGGGGGTGAGAGCAGGAGGGGAACTCAGCCCAGGCTGGCTCAGTTCACAGGGGAGGGGGGTGAGAGCAGGAGGGGAACTCAGCCCAGGCTGGCTCAGTTCACAGGGGAGGGGGTGAGAGCAGGAGGGGAACTCAGCCCAGGCTGGCTCAGTTCACAGGGGAGGGGGGTGAGAGCAGGAGGGGAACTCAGCCCAGGCTGGCTCAGTTCACAGGGGAGGGGGGTGAGAGCAGGAGGGGAACTCAGCCCAGGCTGGCTCAGTTCACAGGGGAGGGGGGTGAGAGCAGGAGGGGAACTCAGCCCAGGCTGGCTCAGTTCACAGGGGAGGGGGTGAGAGCAGGAGGGGAACTCAGCCCAGGCTGGCTCAGTTCACAGGGGAGGGGGGTGAGAGCAGGAGGGGAACTCAGCCCAGGCTGGCTCAGTTCACAGGGGAGGGGGGTGAGAGCAGGAGGGGAACTCAGCCCAGGCTGGCTCAGTTCACAGGGGAGGGGGGTGAGAGCAGGAGGGGAACTCAGCCCAGGCTGGCTCAGTTCACAGGGGAGGGGGGTGAGAGCAGGAGGGGAACTCAGCCCAGGCTGGCTCAGTTAAATGGGGGGGTGCTGAGAGCAGAGCAGTAGGGGAACTCACCCCAGGCTGGCTCAGTTCACAGGGGAGGGGGCTGAGAGCAGGAGGGGAACTCACCCCAGGCTGGCTCAGTTCACAGGGGAGGGGGCTGAGAGCAGGAGGGGAACTCACCCCAGGCTGGCTCAGTTAAATGGGGGGGGGTGCTGAGAGCACAGCAGGAGGGGAACTCAGCCCAGGCTGGCTCAGTTCACAGGGGAGGGGGCTCAGTTCACAGGGGAGGGGGCTGAGAGCAGTAAGGGAACTCACCCCAGGCTGGCTCAGTTCACAGGGGAGGGGGGTGAGAGCAGGATGGGAACTCAGCCCAGGCTGGCTCAGTTCACTGGCTGGGGCTGAGAGCAGTAAGGGAACTCACCCCAGGCTGGCTCAGTTTACAGGGGAGGGGGGTGAGAGCAGGAGGGGAACTCAGCCCAGGCTGGCTCAGTGACTGGCGGGCACACAGAGTAATTGGGAATGGCGCCAGCACTATCACGGCACATTCACTCCCTCAGTTTTACATCCACAGACTCACTGAGCATCTGCTCACGCTGTGAGGACCGAGCAGTGTCCATTAGAAGAAGACAATTCACGTTTTTAAAAACGTATCTAAAGCAAACCTGTTAGAAACTCCCAAGTTCTAAAGCACGAAACACGAGCCTGTAGGCGTTGGGGAAATCTGTGACACGTACGCCACCCACCATTGCTAAAGTGAAACGGAAGTCATAATAGTGCATATTAAAGAACAAACGTGTTTGTGCACTGCACGCACGCTTTCACTCTCTACGTGAGCAACATTCTTGAAGGTGCACACAGACCCGTCAAGAGAAGCACCCGGGAGGATGACTGGACCTGATGAATCCAGTTCCCACAGTCCCGGGATGATTAGCCCCGAGCAATCCACTTCTCATAGTCCCGTCCGCCAGGCACTGGAGAATACCACTGCAGCAGCTCACGAGACAGTGGTGCACGGTGAGTCCACAGGGACTTAGAGGCCCTGGGTCAGTGAGCCCCTCCCCCACCTAGGACGTCCTACTGGAGTTACCTGCAATAAGAACTCTCCTTCTTGCAGGTCCAGTCCATCTCTGAACGCTCTACACTGCTCCTGGCCTCCATTCCTGTCAGCGGGGGAGGATTTTAACGCAACTACGGGGGGAAGGAGGAAGAGGTCATGACACAAATGTACATATTTCAGTCAGCAATACTGAAAGACTATGATAAAGACCATCCAAGAGATGATGTGAAACCCACATGTGCAGAACGTGTAGACACAGGCAACACAACTGAGCAGAATCACCATGGCTACCATTTACATCCGCATTTCATCACGCGCTAACAAACCTCATTTGACAACACACGGCCAATGTATCCGGCCACGTCAGATGCCTACCTTAGGTCTGCCATTTATTAAACACAGCAGCTCTTGAGCCAGTGTTAACTAACATGTGAGAAGGCAGTTTTAAAAGGCGCATCATGCCAGGCTGTGGTGGGGCGCAATGCAAATGCGCATGGAGTTCCTGACACAGCAGACCAACGTGTCAACAAACAGTAAGTAGGGCGTTTATGAGAGGTTAAGGACTGCCTTACTAGAAAGAACAACCTCCTAAATGGAGTTCCTGACATAGCAGACCAACGTCAACAAACAGCAGCTCTAAGTAGGGCATTTACAAGAGGTTAAGGACTGCCTTACTAGAAAGAATAACCTCCTAAATGCCTCGCATTCTTATCTTAACTGATCTCTTTCTACCTTCCATTTTGGCAATCCTTGAGAATTATTTTACTAGATTTCATCAGGCGGTGGTGGCACACGCCTTTAATCCCAGCACTCGGGAGGCAGAGGCAGGGGGATCTCTGTGACTTGGAGACCAGCCTGGTCTACAGAGCTAGTGCCAGGACAGCCTCCAAAGCCACAGAGAAACCCTGTCTCAAAAAACAAAACAAAAAAGAAAAAAATTATTTTAGATTTCTATGTTCCCTTGGCTCAGGCAAAGCTGTCTTAGTGAGCAGAGCACACACGAACCATTCTCATGTTTTCAGGCAATGCTGTCTTGGTGGGCAGAGCTCACACGAACCACTCACACTTACGCTTTCTGGTAAATCATCAGTACATGTGCCACTCCAGGATCCTATGCAAGCTCCCACCTGCCCTTGCAGAAGCTGAACCCTATCTCTGGGAGAGAAGAGGCCAGGGCTTGGCCTCTGTGCATAAAAACTATAAAGGGCCAGAGAACAGACTTCCTCAGGCCAAAAAATAGTGTAAGGTAATCTGATCTAGCTGTTAATCAGGACTAAACGGAAACACTTAAATGTTTCTCAGTGAAATGCACACCAGACAATGAACGGCCTTTTCTTCCTCTCTGGTCTGTGTATCAGCCATTGCTGCTGTGCACTTGGATGGAAACCTTTGCTGTAGAGCACAGAGGGCTCACAATGCCATGGGCTTCCACAGAAAGAATCTTTTAGGAGTTTCACCAAATAAGACCCATGACGAAAAGATGGGAAGAAAGCCAAAACTAAGCCCCACATTCTCACAGAAAAAACAGTAGCATTCTAAAACCAGACAGATATGGTGCCAGACAAGAAGACCTCAATTATCACTGGGATCTCTTCACATTAATTTTGTAATCAGCAAAATTCAGGTCAGTACAACTACAGTCACCCATAGGAGAAAGCAACTGCTCAGCATTTACACTCATTCTGTACCTCCGGAATGTTGAATAAGGAACCAAAGGTGTTGTCTTGTTTGATATGCATGATAAGGAATTTCTGAGAATGGACACCGGAGGGTTCTACTCCAACAGGCCAGACCGATATTTCTGTGGTTCAGTCCCCAGTAAAGGACTAAAGTAAATACTGCACACACACGAGAACAGAAACTGTATGTGCACTCTCAAGGTCTCCCCGCCAAACACCATAGTGACTCTTTAGAAAGCTTACTTTATGATCATACTTCTCAGTCCAATCATTTTAGCCTTTTATGACATTTTCCCTTGAAGATTTAGTCTCATAACTATTACCTCTCCCTTTTTAAAATGCTAGACTCTTTATTAATAGTCTTTCTTTTCATGTCAATGGATGACAGAAACTGCCTACTACCATTACAAGTACTCTATTTACTAAGTAATAATGTATGATCTTGAAGAAACTATCTCAGAGTTGTCAAACTTTAAGAGGTGAAGCCTGGATGACAATCCAGGCAGCCTGTTCCCAGTGCGCAGGAGATGACCCCTTGTCCTACAGTTCTCACTGAGTGAACCACTTTTCACCTCAGTTTTCTTGCCTTTAAATGAGAGCAATGCCATCACTTGAGATGAATTCTGGCGAGCGTAAAATAACATGCAGCCTACTCAGGGACAGTCAAGGGCAGAGGTAACAAACCCTTTCCTGGGACCACTACAAAAAAATTCACAGTACTGCACTGAGGCTAACCATTTCCTCATCTTTAAATGGAGAACACTGATGAACATCAAACAGAATTACTATAGTGATGACATGGCACCCGAAATCTTTTATAACGTTAAGCAGTACACAAATTATGTATCTAATCCAATGTCCGTGATCCTTGAAGCTTAACAACCCTGCCATACGTGACAGTCTGTAGAAATGTACCATCCAAAAATGTCACTGATTCTGCCACCTCAGAAGCACCTGACGAACTTCAACAGAAGCTACATACCTCCTCCTGAAGTGACAGGAATACAAAAATAGCACAAAATAAGGATAGTAAAATGCCAAGGTATTTCAAGTACAAAGAATTGGTTATACTCAGTGATAGAGCTTAGTATGTAAATGCACACCTCTATCAAGTAGCCATATCTCAGGACCCATGACTCCAATCTTAATTCAAACAACATTTATCCAATTTACATTTTCTAGCATAGTATTTTCCTCTTTTATACGCATTTTGAATTATTAAAGAAAGGAAATTCATAAGGCAAAATGTTGGACTGTGGTAAAGTACATCTTTACCTTTGTTCTTATAAGTTTACTTTTAAATTGAAATGTGGCTTGACACAATTTCTGAGGGAAAACTATATGTGTTTTATTTATTCTAATAATTGCTATCAATAATGTATTTTACGATGTTTATCATTTCATTTATTACTGTGACAGGGAGAGAAATGACTTAAAATCAACAAAACACATAAACATATACATAATAGAATGGTTTACAAAACACACTTTTTATTAATTTAAGAATAATACCCCAACTTAATTTATTTGAATGAATACATTTCCAAATAATTTATCAAGTATACCTAAAGGGCTTTTCTATATAGTCTGAAAAAAATGATTCATTTTACTTTAATATACTGTAAAATTTTCTTCTGTATGTGAGATGTGCTTTTTTAAAAAAATATATTTATTATTGTGTTGGGTGTTTTGCAATATATATGTCTGTATACCACATATACACCTTGTGCTCTTACAGGCCAGAAGAGGGCATCAGATCCCCTGGGACTGGAGTTACAGACATTGTGAGCCATCTTGTGGGCACTGGGAATCAAACCTGTGTTGTTTGGAAGAGCAGTGTTATTAGCTACTGAGCCACCTCTGCAGCCCCTGAAAGGTGTCCCTTCGAGGCAGGTGAGAACCGCATTTCTGTTTGTAGTGGTAGTTTGGGAAAATCACTGATTTCCAGAAGGTCATTTTCAAAGTGCTGAAAAGTCTGAATTTCAAGTGAAAACTTACTTCCAGAGATCTTGTCATCACACTTCATGTCACAGTCAGATGCAATCCTATCACACTTCACGTCACAGTCAGTCAGATGCAATTCTATCACACTTCACGTTATAGTCAGATGCAATTCTATCTATCACACTTCATGTCACAGTCAGTCAGAAGCAATTCTATCACACTTCACGTCACAGTCAGTCAGAAGCAATTCTATCACACTTCATGTTACAGTCAGTCAGATGCAATTCTATCTATCACACTTCATGTTACAGTCAGTCAGATGCAATTCTATCTATCACACTTCATGTTACAGTCAGTCAGATGCAATTCTATCTATCACACTTCACGTCACAGTCAGATGCAATTCTATCACACTTCACGTCACAGTCAGATGCAAGTCTATCTATCACACTTCATGTTACAGTCAGACGCAATTCTATCACACTTCATGTTACAGTCAGTCAGATGCAATTCTATCTATCACACTTCATGTTACAGTCAGATGCAATTCTATCACACTTCACGTCACAGTCAGTCAGATGCAATTCTTCTACACAGTCCCTGTCTGCATTAATGCAATATGGGCAGAAGTGTCTGCTAGTTTGTGGTTTTTGATAGGGCCGCTAACCTCACTATATCACACTGTTACACACACAAGTGAAATTTAAAGTGACTGAAATGCAGAATGTGACTAACAAATTTATTATACCAGTTACTATGAAATTTCCACAGACATCAGAGTCATCTGGAAGGTGCATTGATTCCAAGACTGGTCCCTATCAACTTTCAACTCAGTAGCTCTAAGATGGCACTCCACAGTCCACACTAACAATTCCCAGGCAACACTGTAAACCACTGTCAGAAAATATGGACTTAGGAAATGGCTTAGAAATTTTCTGGGTCCCCATGTTTTTTAAAAGTATTGTAGGCTTAGCGCATGCATTTACTAATATACATTCAGAGATAACTCCAGCAGTCTTACCAAGACAAAACTGCAGCACACCTTTACAACTGACACGCTGGCCGGGCATTGGTGGCGCACGCCTTTAATCCCAGCACTCGGGAGGCAGAGGCAGGCGGATCTCTGTGAGTTCGAGGCCGGGCTGGACTGACAGCCTCCAAAACAACACAGAGAAACCCTGTCTCGTAGAAAGCAAAAACGAAAACAAACAAACAAACAAACAAAAAAAACTGGCACACAAGGTAAATACACAAACACCCTGTATCCGTGGCTCACAACCTCCCCAACAGGCAACGGCTTTCTTCTCAGAGACATCTAGACGTGAGCAATCTGTCATTTCTAACAACAGAAAACTCCATGGGCTGAGGCGTCTAGACATGAGCAATGTGTCATTTCTAACAAGAGAAAACACCGTGGGCTGAGACGTCTAGATGTGAGCAATGTGTCATTTCCAACAAGAGACAATACCATGGGCTGAGACATCTAGACATGACCAATGTGTCATTTC